TTAGCTCGCTAACACGTTGACGCCGTCCAGCCCCACGCACGGGGCGATCCGCAGTAACTCGTTAACGGAGATTTGCCGTGTCCATCTTGTTGTTGCCTGCAGGTGAAGCGATGGGGGAGGTGGAGTGGTGTGCAGTGAAGGAGAGGCGAGGCCCAGTAACGTTGCGTAGAGACAAAAGTGGACGAAAGAGAGGCAAACTTGCGGCTCCACAAGTATAATTATAACGTAACATAGACTATACCGATATAAACGATATTGTCACATCTTATATCTCGTATAAAAAGATATCGATATTTTTAAAATAACTCGATATATCGCCCAGGCCTAGTAGCAAGAGAGTGTGAACCTTAAGGTGTGAAACAGCTGTGTACTGCCTTTTGTTCCTAGAGAAGGTATTTAACTGAGAGCCATGCTAGGCTCAGGGAGACTCTGCTGACCGTCTGCCCGCGATCATGCAGGCTCTCCACCAAGCTTGGTTGTCTGTTCTTTGTTTTGATTAAAGAATGTTAGCTACCGCTTGTCTGCAGGCGTTACTTAATGGAAAACTTCCACAACAGGTGCTTTTCAATGCCTTTTATATAGGAATAGAACCAGAACACAAGCAGTTGGTAACTCTGTGTATCCACCCATTTTTAGAGGAATGTTTTTTGTTAAACCTCCTAACACTGACATATGAATCATTCAAGCACAAAACATCTTCTAACTCCAGGTATAAATTTATGTTTTGTCTACACATAACTGATAACTTGGCAAGAAAGCAATGCCATCCATCCATTCGCTTCCGCTTATCCTTTTCAGGGTCGCGGGGGGCGCTCGAGCCTATCCCAGCTCCCATAGGGCGAGAGGCGGGGTACACCCTGGACAGGTTGCCAGTCTGTCGCAGGGCCAAAACACAGGGACAGACAACCATTCGCACTCACATTCACTCGCACATTCACACCTAGTGGCAATTTGGATTATCCAATTAACCTATCCCCACAAGCTGCATGTCTTTGGACAGTGGGAGGAAGCCGGAGTACCCGGAGGGAACCCACGCAAACACAGGGAGAACATGCAAACTCCACACAGAAAGACCTGATGATGGAATTGAACTCAGGACCTTCTTGCTGTGCGGCAACAGTGCTAACCACCTTGCCACCGTGCTTGCCAACTTGGCAAGAAAGCAATGTTAAATGGTATCTTTACCAGGCACTGCAGTGAACCACTGAACCTACAAAAAGATTGTTTGACAGGAATAATAGTATTCACTGACAGACTGGCCCTGGAACAGTGATAGAAATCTGCTGCCATCTGCAGTATGATGAAGATGAAATAAGGGTGGACGTTTCAGCAAGACAATGATCCCAAACACAGCCAAGGAAAATCTATAGGTTTCAGAGAATGGCCCAACCAAGGGCCAGCCTAACCTGAATGTAGCTGAGAATCTCTGGCAAACAGCTAAAGCTCAAATTTCATAGAAGAGGCCGACAGAACCTTCAGGATTTGAAGACTGATTGTACAGAAGAATGGGGCAAAATCATACCTGCGCAATGCATACAACTAGTTTACTTGAAGCTATCACCAACAAAGGCTTTTTTAGGAGGTCTTAAATACATTTCAGTAAGGTTTCCGTCTCATTATTACACATAACTTAGTTTATGGACATATATGGTTTGATTTCTTTGCATGTGTTGATTGGATGGGTTGTTACCGGCTTCTTTTTAAATTGCAGAAACTGCAATTATTGGATCTTGAAACTCTTTTGATTCGGTTCAGTTTGATTCAATTTTATATGAAAAACTCACCTCAAGGTGGTTTATATTGTAAGGTAAAGAATACAATATTAGAAAGCAATCCCAACATTGATATGACCCCCTATGTGTAAGCACTTGGCGACAGTGGGAAAGACAAATTTCTTTTCAATAGGAAACCCCTCGCAGAAATAAGCTCAAGTGGTAAATAAACACACAGACTAAATATAGGTGAGTGAAGAACACTAAGTGCATTATAGGAAGCCCCCAACAGCTTAAGCCTTTTGTAGCATAACTACGGGAGGGTTAAGGGTCACCTGACTAACCTTTATCACCTTTATCAAAAAAAAAAATGTTTTAAGCCTAATCCTAAAAGTAAAGAAGGTGTCTGTCTCCCTACTGTCTTTTCAAACTAAGAGCTGCTTCCGTAGTAGAGGGCACAGCTGAAGGCTCTGCCTCCTTTCCTAGATTTGAAAACTCTAAACTGCTGTCTTTTTATTAATGGGTAAAAAAAAACCCAGTTCTGATTCATATTTTTCTTTCTAACCCTGCAGCCTTTATTTAACCAGCATATACGACCACTCCATATTTGAGGCCTTCAGCAAAGTGGTCCAAAAGCTCATCCCACAGCTGCCAACGCTGGAAAATCTGCTAAACATCTTTATATCTGTGAGTAGTTTTCTTGCACACAAACACACTTACAGCATCACTGAGTGAACAGCATGCAACTGGATTATTGTAATGGTCTTTTTACTTGTCTCAGCAAATCAGCTCTGGATCGCCGTCAGACTGTGCAGACTTTTAACTGGCACAAACAAGAGGTCACACATTACTCCAGTTCTGGCAAATTTTAGGGTTCATTTTAAAATTTTAGTCGTAACTTTTAGAGCTCTTCATGGTGAAGCTCCCCAGTACATCTCTGACCTGTTGAAACCTCATGCTTCATAGGTCTTAGACTTAGGTCTTCAGGTCAGAGGTTACTGTTGGTCCCACGTCCTAGGTTCAAAACACGTGGGCTTCAGGCTTTTCAGGCACTGGCTGTGGAGCTGTCTCTGTTGTCTTTACGCTGTCTAGACTCCACTGACTCCTTTAAAAAGCAGCTGAAGACATTTTTATACAAACAAGCTTTTAATTAATTTTGTCATTATTTTATATTATTTTATTTATAATTCTGGTTTTATTGTAGAGCACTTTGTGATTTTTATCTGTGAAAAGTGCTATATAAATAAATTTTACTTACTTACTAAATGTTTAGGTCAACCCTCTGTACAAACCTAATGTGTGCTTTTCTGATTGAAGTTGGAATGTGCAGGTAACTAAATTTTTATGTGCATGCCTTTTTGTGCTTTACAACAGCCACTAGATGGTAGAAATGTATAAGGTCAACTTCAGTGTACGATGGCATATCCTGCTGAGAACCAGCCTATTCATTTATCTCCTCTGTAATGGACTGTTTAAAGAAAAAAAAAATCTTTGGACTTATTTGAGCTAAATACTAAGTCCTGATGTACTTAAGAGGACATCTCGGGCTTTCCACTGATATGTGATGTGTTATTTGGGCTCTTTTTGCTCTAAAGAGGAAGGGAATTATAAAAAAAAAGTTCAATGGGAAAATAATTTTTTCCTGTTTTTAGGAGGATATTAAAGAGTCAAAAATCATTACTTGCTGTATCAGTGCTTATTGTTGAGCTATTCACAGCTCAGTTCTTTCATTCATGAGTTTTCATCCAATCTAAGTTAAAACTGAAAAGTAATTGCAGCATTGTGCTTTTTGTGTCTCAGTATTGCTATTTAGCTGGATCTTTGGCCTAATTGTCATTCTGCCAAATGAGGTTGGGACTTCTCTGAGGTCCTGGGAGATGCATCAGAATATAAATATCTATGTGTAGAATGAACAGTTTACCTTAGACAAATCTTTCTGCCTTTGCTATATTAGTTAGCACAGGTAATACTACTGGGTTAAACCAATGTCCTCGAATGGGGGAGAGCATAAACCTTCAGCTCTAAAGTAGGGTTTATACAGCTTTTCCTGGTAAGATATATATTCTATTATGACATTACACAACTTCAAAACATCTTTCTGCAGCTTCATTAATGCCCAAACCCAGAATGAGGACAGATGAAGGTTTTTGTCTGTGATTTATTTATTTATTTATTCATTCATATATTTATTTATTTATTTTAGGGATTTAAGCATTATTAATTTCCAAGCATTTTGTCTTGAGCACTTGAAACAAAATGTAGTATTATTGTTGGAGTTGATAAAAATCTCTTTTCTTTGATTTGCTTAAAACTCCAGAGTGTGTAAGCTTTGAAAACGTCTGTGATATCTGCGGGATGATAATATCTCTAGCAGCTGAGAAAAGCTGCACACTGTGAATAGGCCTGCACACAGAGATATGTAAATGTCAGATCTGACAAACTGAATGAAAGTAAGTCTTACTTCCAACATTACACGGGGTCTTCACTGGACACCATGGGGTATTTCTGTGTGTATAAGGATCAAATATTCATGTCATCCCATTAAGATTTTTGGCTAAAAAGACAAACACATGTGGTCTGTTTACCCTGCCGTCAAATAAATGTATAAAAAAACAGTAAATTATTGAATAAAATTAGTATTTGATCCTCTATAAACCAGCCAGAATTCTTGCTCCTAGACTGGCTATGTGCCCATGTGACAGTTACTCTTGATCTGAACTCATGTGTAGCACAGAATCAGTTTCTTCCCTTTCCAGGTATTTACCAATAGTAGTTATTACCTGGTTGACTGCTGTCTGTTTGCGATCTAAATGTTTTAGCAGGTTAAATAAGTATTGAGCATGTCACCAACTTTCTAAGTAAATATATTTCTAAGGGTGCTATTGACAAGAAATTGTCACCAGATGTCTCTAATAACCTATCCAATCCACACATGCAAAGAAATCAAACCACAGATGTCCATAAAATATGTGTAATAATGAGAATTGACACATGGATAAATCATTGAACTTTGTACAAAGGGCTTGGTTGGTTATTTTTTTGCCTATTCTTCCACACAAACAGTCTTCAAATCCTCAAAGTTCTTTGGAACCCATCTATGAACTTTCCGGCCTGGCATGGCCATTTGCTGGGATAGTCTAGCAGCTTTACTTTCTTTCTCTGAAACCTACAGAGAGTTTCTTTGGCTGTGCGTTTGGTATCATCGTCTTGCTGAAACATCCAACCTTGTTTCATCTTCATCATCATGGTAGAGGGCAGCAGATTTGTATCAAGAATGTCTCGGTACATTTTTCCATTTATTCTTCCTTCAGTTATGTGAAGGATGTGTACATGAAGTACACACTGCCATATGTAGGGATGG